CGAATTTTAATTCTGTAAAATTACCTACAGTTCCTCCTCCCGAGAAATTCAATTTTCAAGAAACTCAGTTATGGCCTAAATGGTTGAGAAGATTCGATAGATACAGAGTAGTATCTGGCCTCAGTGAAGAGAGTCAAGACAAACAGATCAACATGCTTATATACGTCATGGGTCCTGAATCTGAAGATATTTATCGAAGTTTTAATGTCGACACAGATGTTAATATTACGTACACAGAGGTCAGACAAAAGTTCAATGATTTTTTCATAGTCCGAAGAAACGTCATATTTGAACGTGCTCAATTCAACTCTAGAGTGCAGAAGGAAGGAGAATCGGTAGATAGTTTCATAACAGCACTCTATCCTCTTTCTGAATACTGTGACTATGGTACACTTAGAGATCAATTAATACGTGATCGTATTGTAGTGGGTATTAAGGATGAGAAGTTATCTAGAAGGTTACAACTAGACTCCACCTTAACCCTGAAGAAAGCAATCGAAGCAGCAAAGCAGACAGAAACTGTTATTTCTCAGAATAAAGTCTTACGAGAAGATACGGTAAATGCAAACGTGAATGTTATGTCAAAACAGAAATTTCACAGTCAAAAGTCAACGAAGTCAAAAGACTATAAGAAACCAGGAAATCCACAACACAAGACATCACAGAATGATAAGTGTTACAGATGTGGAAGATCCAAGCATAGCCGAGATGAGTGTCCAGCAGCATCTGCGCAGTGCAGGAAGTGTCAGAAAATAGGACATTTTGAAAGACTTTGCCAAAGCAAACGTGTTTTTTCTGTAAATGCTAGAAATGATACTAATCCAGAACTTATATTTCTAGGCACTGTTTCAGGAGATATTAATAATATGTCTTATGCAAAAGATTTGTTTAAGGTTGATAAACCGACTGATTGGTGTTTCCCAATCGTACCAATTGATAAGGACGATGGTCGGATTCGTTTGTGCGTAGATTTTACTATGCCAAACAAAAATGTTTTAGTTGAAAATTATATGCTCCCAACTGTTGAAACTACATTGGGTCAATTATCGGATGCATGCTATATGTCAAAATTGGATGCCAATAGTGGATTTTCTCAAATAGGTATAAGTCCGGAATCACGTTCCTTAACCACTTTTATGACTCCTTTCGGGAGATACGAGTTTAATCGTCTTCCTTTTGGAATAAATTCCGCACCGGAATATTTTCAAAAACGTATGTCGCAACTCTTGGACGGATTTTCAGGTGTATTATGTCATATGGACGATATTTTAGTGTTTGGCAAAACTAAGTCAGAACATGATAAAAGGCTCAATCAAGTTTTAGAAAAACTTGAAACTTCAGGATTAACTTTAAATTTGTCGAAATGTAAATTTTCACAAACACGTGTAAAATTTTTAGGACATATTATCAGTAAGAG